AAAATGAATTTTTAAATGATGTATAGATCTCCAAATGTAATTTTCACACCTTAGACTTCCCAGTTAGACACACACATGCCTGGTACACATAAGGACACCAAGCCCAAAAGCCCACATCCCATACATGGCATCTCTCCACATTAAGAGAGCAAAGCTCATTCAAAGCAGTTCTGAGGTTTCTCAGAATATTTTTCACTTCCCCCTTTTGCACAAGCCATAACTGGTATTAATACAAGGATGGAAAGCAATGTATAACGTAAGTGAGCTTGCTCCAGTGCGGTAAGACTGAAGACAAAGTTGGAAGTGAATCCTGCAGCACTAGAGATCTCACTCTGTGAATCACGATGACAAGGACAGCCCGGGTTTAAAAGACTGTCTCAGTGAAGCATGATTGCAACTCCAGGGAGTGATTTTTCTAATTGCCTTCATCATCTGAACATGCACAGAGAAAAACAACTTTTGTCGTATATGTATTTAAACAAAGAAGATATTTTCATGTTCTAGGCTGCATGCAAAATTACCTGGCCCAATAATTATGCAGAAACAACATTTCCTTTTAAATGTCCCTTTAACTCCTGAAAATCTAAAATGAGAATACCCAGAGCTGGTTACAAGGTTATAAAATCAATACCTTCAAATGTAGGTGCAGGCCGTAAGTTGATACAACATTGATTTTTTAAAAACCCTTTGGAAATATAATTTAAGAACATGTTTCTGAAATCCTAGAAAGTATCCAATCCTTTTGATCTAATAATCTCACTCCTTGCATCTAATTTTAAGGAAGCCGCTTAAAAAAAGAGAAATGCTTCATGTAGAAAATTTTCAATCAACTTACTAATAAAGATGAAAAACTGACAACAGCCTGCACGTCTTAACAACAAGAAAAGATTTATGTAAATTATGGCAATTCCATCAGATAGAGTATTACAGCCCATTAAAATATTAACTTTGAAGACATTATAACAACATAAACTACTTAAAATGTGATGCCAAGAGAAAAAGCAGAAATCATTTTATTGTGACAAGTGTACCCTTATGTAAAAATGTCTAGACAGAGATAAGGACAGCAAAGGAAAAAAAAACTCTAAAAACAATTTTGCCACAAATCTAGAAAGGGAGATGATTTTGCTTTCATTCCCAGAATATGTATTATGATATGACTGCTCAACAAAATGTTTTTTGAAGATGGTAGCTGATTACTGTAAATGATCAAGTGCATTCAAGGTGTATTGCTACTATCTTCCTATAGACATTTGCATAAAGAGACCCCTATCATATTGTGATCCATGTGCTAGTCTCATTCTGCACCAGCCCTACATATCCATGAGAGATGAATTTCCCTGTAAGCCTCCAGAGGTGGCACAGGGAACAATGTCAGGTCCCAGACACTGGAGTAAACAGGCCTGGGGGTGAGTCCATTCCCACACAGGCCACGGGACCCTAGGGAGTTTTCCGGAGGGCTGTGTAACCCCTCTAGAAAAATGCAGGTGCTGAGACCTCCCTGGCTGAGCTGTGATAATGATTCCCAATTAGGTATGAAAAGCAGTCCACACAATGCATCACTAAGCTAGAGTTGTTACTATTACCTGGATACAAGACAGTTACGGTACAATGATGCAATGGCAAATTTCCAGTTAGAGTTTAGCTTTAAATTACTTACAAACCAGGTTTGTTCTGGTTGAGGAGGTGTCTGCATCTTCAATCACCCAACAACTCTGGTTTGGGAGAGCATGTTCTTTGGCTGGACCACGTCACTGCCCTGTTTAAAATTCTTACATGACCACAGGTGCCCGGAAGGTCAATTCCAAACACAGGGCCACTGGCTCCTTTAAGGTCAGCCCAGCACTCGTGCCTGAGGCTTCCCTCCTTACACGCCACACTGCAGGAATACTAAAGTTCCTACGATCTCCCCAGTGAGCCAGGTTTACTCTTTACCATCTGCCTTTGCATATTCTGTTCCATTCCCCTGAAATACCCTTTGTCTCTCTACCAACCTCTCCTTCCTGGGAACTCCTACCATTTCTGCAAGGCTTAGTCTAAGAAGAAGTCCTCTCTGACCCCTCTTCCCTGTCCCAGAGTTAGGGTCCCTCTTGCAGGATACCAAAGTCCCTTGAGCTCCTTGCATCATCCTGGCCATCTATCTGCCCTGCAAGCTCCCTGAGGGTTAGAACCTTGCCTCCACCTTCCTCGTAGTCCTGTTGCCCAGCACAGGGGTGAGTGCAGAAAAGATGATCAGTAAATGCCTATGAAATAAATGAACCAATTGACGGCAAATAACAGTGTGTTACTTGCACAGGTGTTGAGAAATAGACTGGCAAAACCAAGCAAGTTAATGTTTCACTGAACTTGAAACTGGCAAAATCAGAGGCCTAACCTTGGGCTTTAACCAGTTGACCTTGAGCCTGACCACTTTCGGAATGAGGAATAGCAGGAAAATCAAAAGGTGGCTCTGCTAGATATAACTATTTTGCCAATAAATATTTTAAAGCAAAGTTTTCGGGATAAAGAAAAATGACAATTGTCAACATAAGGGAGGCAAATTTCCTCTGTAAATAAAAGAGAAAGACATGAAGAAAATTATCTGAATTACCTTTGACCCAGGCTAGTACCATGAACCTCTAAAATCAGGAGTGATTAAAGTGTGTGCTATTCTCTGGAAAGGAGTCCATGGCCTTTATCCAAGTATCCTGCTATGGGCTAAACTGTGTCCCCACCAAACTTCAGATGCTGAAGCTCCAGCCTTCAATATGACTATATTTGGAGAGGACTTCTAAGGAGATAATTAACAGTCAGTGATATTGTAAGGGTGGGGCCCTAAGCCTGCAGGATTGGTGTTCTTATAAGAGGAGGAAGAGCAACCAGAGATCTCTATCTCCTGAGCGCACAGAGGAAGGCCATGTGAGGACCCAAGGAGGAGGCTGTCTACCATCCAGGAAGAGAGCTCTCGCCAGAAACCCACCCTGAAGGCACCCTGATCTTGGACTTCCAGCCTCCAAAACAGTGAGAAAATAAATTTCTGTTGTTTAAGCCACCACCAGCAGCAGATTCTAATGTTTAAGCTTCTGGGGTATCTTGTTATATTAATAGCAGCCTGAGCAGACCAGTATTGGTCCCTTCCCCAAAATAGACAGGAAACCTTTGACTTGTTGAAAAGAGAAAGGTTTTGACCCAAGTCATCCTCTCCATCTGCCAATGAGTTTGTATCTTCTCACAGGGTCTGAGCAGCTCTGAATGTAACCTCACAGGACAAAAAGGCTCCCAGAGGAACAGGCCTACCCCACATCCACCCCAAGGAGGACGTTCCTAGCAGAGCACACATTTATATACCGTGTCGAGATCACTTTGCCTTCCATAGAGCAGTGCAGGGCTATTGTGAGCTTGGTTGGGGGAAAGAGTTCAGCTACACGGTGTCCGAATGCTTCCTGGAACACACAAGAGCCTCCCCCACCCACCTGTCTACCTGTTCTCTGTCCACTCCTGGCTCCCCACCTACCTGTGCTCCAGAATAACAAACAGGAAGGGATCAATCCTCCTTGGGTCCCCAAATCCTACACTGGCCCCACTTACAGCCCTTAGCACCACGGATGGTCTTCAGTGCCACCAGACTGGGAACTCCTGTAAGAAAGGGCCAGATGGGCCTGACTCAATTACACTGACTAAACTCAAGTATTCTTCTCAGAGGAACTGTGGGGTGAGCATTTGACTCCCATCCACAATCTCGGACTTCCCAGGCAGCACTGTGGTAAAAAAATCCATCTGCCAATGCAGGAGATGCAAGAGAAGTGGGTTCGATTCCTGGGTCAGGAAGATCCCCTGGAGGAGGGCATAGCAACCCACTCCAGTATTCTTGCCTGGAATATTCCACGGACAGAGGAGCCTGGCAGGCTACAGTCCATAGGGTTACAAAGAGTCGGACACAACGGAGCATGCATGCATGTACAACCTTGGAAGATCTAGAGACCATGACCAGTGCCCAAAAGCCTACTGTCTCCAGGGCAAGAGTGTCCAGCCTCCAAGCCAGCTGTGACACATCCCTTCACCTGTAAAATGGAACAGCAAAGGTACCCACCTCCTAGAGCTGCCGTGAGACCTGAGTGAGGACATATAAAGCCTAGAACAGTGTCTGGTACATGAAATGTGCTCAGTAGTCCTGGCTCTTACGGAGGGCACCTGAGGTTGGAGAAACCCATGCAATAGGAAACGGAGCTTTCACAGGCAGAGTTACCAGACAAACAGCACTATGCGCAGAGCTCGGTACTGATTCTATTCACAAGGCACTTCTCACGTGGATTACCAGTGGTTAAGCTTCAAACAATCCCCTAAGGAAGAGGGCGGTTATCATAAGTCTCATCTCCTAGATGAAGAAAGGGAGGTTTCAGAGAGGTTAAGGACGTTGCCCCACAGACACACAGCGCTGGGAAAGGGGTTCTGCTGGTCCAAACACCAAGCTCTACCGACCTGAGCCGCAGGAACCCAGTTCTGGAGTTTCGACGAGGTTGGACCGCCTACAGCACTCCTTCACCTGGGAGGCGGCCAACAGCGGGACGCTTTCCGCCCAGCCTCAAGAGTTTAACCGGGAAAAGTTTTCCCAGGCTGTCCTGGGCGAATGAAGAGGGCGGCATAGAACCTGCCCGAGCACCAGACCAGATGCATAGTACACACACGCGCGCGCTCACACACGCGCGCACACACACACACACGCCGCCTCCTGCAGCCGCCGTCTTCTAAAGGGGGACCTCGGCATCCCCGGAGCCCTAGTAACATCCGGACTCGCCCCCAGAGTCCACTCGTCCCTGCTGCCTCCCCAAGTGAAGTCTCGGCGTTCTCCTTTCCCTAGGAATCCGCGCCCGGCCCGCGCTGGGCGCCGTCTCCCGGGCCCCCCCTAAGGGGCGCCGACAGAGAGGAGTTGTTGCCTCGGAGGAAACCCCGCGCCCGGCACGGGTCGGGCGCGCAGCCCGCGCTCAGCCGAGGGTAACGGGGAAGGAGGGTTGCCCTCTTACCTTCCTCATTCTCGTCAAACACCGGGGGCTTGTGGGAGTGGTTCCCGCCCATATTCCGCCGCGGCGGCTGCCGCCGCTACATGCCCAGCCGCCGGGATGCGGGGCGCGCCGCGCGGGGTGCGGATGCGCCGCGAGCGTCCAGTCCCGGCTGCCGCCGCGCGCCGAGCCGGAGGAGGCAGAGCGCCGCGCTGGGGCGGGAACCGCGCCCCCTCCTCCGGGGCGTCCCCCCGCCCCTGGCGGCGCTCTCCCGGCGTTCGCGCCGCGCCCGGGCCACGCTAGCTTATCCTCCGGGCCGGGTTCCAGGCGCCCGCACCCACCCGGGAACGAGGGAGCTCCCAGTGCCGGGCCAAACGGAGCCGCGCTCCTCGCTGGAGACCGGAGCCGACGCGGGAAGAGGAGGAGGAGCAGGAGGGGAAGGAGGCGATGGGCGCGGGCTGCGCAGAGGGGGCGCGCGAGCGCAGCCCCGAGGGCGGCCTGGAGGAGGGGGCGCGGCGGACGCTGCGGACGAACGGCTCTGGGAGGAGTCGACGCGGGCACCCGAACTGAGCGCCGGGTCCGCCCGGAGGAGTCGGGCGCTCACCTCCCGGCGTTAAGCAAGTCGTGAGCCATCTAGTGTGCGCCCGGCCCCAACCAAACGCTTTAGAAGCGCAATCCTCTGTCACCTCCAAAAACCACTGTTGCCCATTTTAGAGTCGGGTAGACTGAGGTTTAAGGGTAAAGGAGCTCTTCGGTTAGTCGGCGCTGGCTGCGGAGGGAGCCCCTCGGACGCCCCTTTGACCTTATTTGCCCACTTGAGCAGAGTCCCGGGCAGTTCTGCCGCAGATGTGTTTCCTCTTGGTGTTTTCTAAATGTTTAATGAGTGAACGTAGTCTGGACCCTCTTGGACTGTTTCTCCCCTGCATTCTAAGGCGGAAACTGAGTCCCAAAGGGGGCGGAGTTTGCCCCCAAATCATTCTCCCTAGGACTGGCTGCGCGTGGGCCTCGGGAGTCCCCTGAAACTGAACTAAAGCCGGTTAGTAAAAGGGACGGGGGTGCGATGCGTCCGCCTCAAGGCTCTCCTGGGGCGAGCGCGGACTCTCAGAGGGACCCGCAGGTCACCCGGGCGGTGCAGTCCAGCCCGCCCAGCGCGCCAGGCAGCCAGGATCGTTGGCCGCATCCTGCCATCTACTGGGCGTCTTCAGCCACCGTCTGTGCTTCGTATTAATAGAAAGCAGCGGTTCTTTTACTTCCCCGTCCTTTCTCCCAACCCCCAAGTTTTGCCTCTGCTTCTCTCTCTCTCTCTCTCTCTCTCTCTCTCTCTCTCTCTCTCTCTCTCTCTCTGGGAGACGAGGGGGAGGAGACTATGGATGGGTGGGATGGTTCTCTAACATCAGAGGGAACCTCCTGGAGACGTTGGGAGGTGAGTGAGCCCTGGGAGCCAGCCCCATCCAGCCACAGATTCAGGACTGGCCCAAATCACTAGGCCTCATGGGTCAGACAAGCCTCATTCACAGACCTGCTTCCACCACTTACAGTCTCTGTGCGTTCCAACTTCGAGTTCTCATCTGTGAAATGGGGAGGTTGGTATTAACTCCCCAGCATTGCTATGAGAATTCTATCACATCATATTTATAAAAGTGGGCAACAGGGCCCAGGCACATAACAATGATGAATAAATATTTCTTGCTTTTCATTCTGCTGACGGAGAAGGCAATGGTAACCCACTCCAGTACTCTTGCCTGGAAAATCCCGTGGACGGAGAAGCCTCGTAGGCTGCAGTCTATAGGATCGCTGAGCGACCTCACTCTCACTTTTCACTTTCATGCATTGGAGAAGGAAATGACAACCCACTCCAGTGTTCTTGCCTGGAGAATCCCAGGGACACTGGAGCCTGGTGGGCTGCTGTCTGTGGGGTCACACAGAGTTGGACACGACTGGAGCAACTTAGCAGCAGCATTTTGCTGACAAGCATTGGCTGAGTGGCCAAGCTATAGCAAGCAATATAATGAACCAAGATAAAGCAGGTACAGCCCCCAGATCAAGGCAGGAGGAGGGGTGGTAACAGGCACGAGCCCTGGGTCCTGTTCCTCCCAGATTTCACCCCACTTTGACACTCTCTAGCAGGATAACTTGGGTAAATTACTTAACCTCTGCTGGCCTCAGTTTGTTCACCCATGAAATGGGTATGATAATAATCGTATTTTCACCCTTCCTAGGGTTGTTATCTAGAATAAATGATGTCGCTACCTAGAACACAATAAATACAACACAGGTGTTAGTTACTATCCTCCATAAGGAGCTATGGTGTAAATTGTACTCTGGTCTCACAGTTCTTCCTTCTCTCCCTGTCCTTGACGTGGTTCACTGGGATGAGGGGGCATTTCTTACTTTCTGACCCCTGACATGGAGCGTGCCACTGAACTTAGTTTGGCCACTGGTCTCTGGGAGGAAGTGAGGGTGTATGGGTTCTGAGTGACAGCTTAAGATGTCACATGTTTCAGCTCTCTTGTCCTTCTGCCATCCACCATGAGAAGAGCGGGCCTTGGGTAGCATCTGAACCCCAAGGGGTGGTGCACTGAACCCCACATGTGTCCTGAAGCAGAGCTACTGTTGGGTCCTGCCCCAGGGCCACGGGTGTGAGGTGTGGTTTGCATCAAAGCCATAACAGCAGAGTCCAGAACCACGGTCACCTCCAAAGCTGACTGAGCCCCTTTGTGGCCATTGCCAGAAGCCCCCCTGATCAGCAGCAGCAGGCTTTTTCACCCAACATTAGGCAAAAATGCCCACCTCAGTGGTCACCCTACAGCACCCTAACCAGTCACCTAGTGCCAACTTTCCAGCAGGGATTTTCTTTGTCCCAAGGCTATTAAGATTGCCTACTAACCCAGAAAAGCTATCAACTCTCCGTGGTCTGTCAGGAGGCCGGCCCACTGCGCTCACAGTGCCCACTTTATCTCTGCTCTTTGTTCTTAATAAACTCGCTCCCTTCTGAAATGCTCTGTGTCTGGAAATTCTTTTCCAACCCATGTTGACTGCTTCAACAGCTACAAGCTCACAAGCAAGAAAAATAAGTGCTCTTGTAAACCACTGAGATTGGGGGGAAGCATTGTTCCAAAGCATTATCATGGAAAAAGCTGATGAATACGGATATTCAATTAACAGTCATGCATGCAAAGGCTATAACTGCAACCTGCGTGGTGTGGAAGGAAGCCTAGGAGGCTGTGGGAACACAGGAAGCAGCTGTCCCAGTTCTGAGAGTCTGGGCAGGTGCAGGGTCCTGCGGAAAGAAGCCATGAGCACTTGTTCGAGAAGGGGACGACAGAGAACGAGATGGTTGGATGGCATCACCGACTCCATGGACATGAGTTTGAGCAAGCTCCAGGAGTTGGTGATGAACAGGGATGCCTGGCGTGCTGCAGTCCATGGGGTCACAAAGAATCAGATACCACTGAGCGACTGAACTGACTGAACTTCCTCTTTGTGGAACAAGCGTTTCCTGAATACTTACTGTGGGCCAGGTCCTGGGGTGGGTGCTGAAGAAGACCCTGTGATGAGTAACACAGGATCTGTGAAGTTGAAGTTTAGAAGGCTGGTGCAGGACAAGGGTAACACCCACAGGGAGGCCCCTCAACAGTCATCGAGTCCAAGTTTGTGCTGCTCGCCACGAGACAGACCGATAAATCAGGAGACAATTTGTTGGGGAAAGGAGTAGGGACTTTATTTGGAAAGCCAGCAGACCAAGATGATAGTGGACTGTTGTCTAAAAAGAACCTTCATCTTTCCCAAGCTACAATTCAGGCTTCTCTTTTACTAAAAGGGGAAGGGGTGTGTTTGGTTGTTCCAAAGTGCCTGGTGTCAGAATCCATTGTTCTTGCAGTTACCCACTAGGTCAGGCCACAGTGTTTCTGTAAACCTCCAACATGGCAAATGTTCCTTGTTCTGCAACTTTTTTATCTCTGTATAAACAGAAAGTGTTATACCTTGAAAGTTCAGGGCCTTGAGAAGGGGCTATCTTGTATATCTCATGCTAGAGGCAATATTATTATATATATTTTTTGTCTGCCGCGGTGTGGCATGTGGGATCTTTGTTCCCTGATCAGGGATTAAAACTGCACCCCCTGAAGTGCAGGCATATATTCTTAACCACAGGGAAGTCTCAACATTCTTAACTAGTAGCAAAAGCAATAGAACACAAAGGTTAAAGGAAAGGAAACAGATCCAAGATGGAGTCAGATTTGCTCTTCCTTATCCACATTCAAAGAAGCCAACTGGAAGGAGATGGTGTGTGAGCTGAGACCAGAAGGACAAGAAGGAATAAGCCATGTGGAAGGGAAAGGGGGTAGCTGGGCAAAGTACTGAAGCCGAGTAAGGAGGGTTTCGGCTGTTTCAGGAGGCTGGAGCAGTGTCAGAGCACAGGGGTGTTCAGGATGACATCTGTGATGCATCGTATGGAGCCCTTTCTGGGTGCCAGCCCCATGCCAGCCATTTGCAGGAATCGTGGCCCTCCAAGCAAACTCTTCCCTGGATCCTCTCCCACTTATAGATATTATTTCAGGCCTGTCACTTCCAGTGCTTTTCATGGATCACCCCTTTTAATCCTCACAGCAAACCTGGCCGGTGGGCTTGACCATCACCCCTGTACTGACAGGCACAGAAGCATAGAGAAATTAAAGCCAAGTCCAAATGGTTGCAAAGTGGTGAAGGTTTCAATCCACAGTTCAAACATAGGTATCAGATCTTAAAGAAACGGTGTAGGGAATAGTGGTTGTGAAATTCAGATCATTTTAACTCTGTTTTTAAAGTAGTTTTATATATTTTATGTATGACTAATATTTTAATAATCAGCAAAAACAATGAGAAATATTTTCACTTTGAAAAAAACTTGTGGACACTAATCCACACCTGATTTTGTAAGGCATGTTTCATGGTTCATCACTAAGTTACTTATGTGTCAAGAGGTGGTGCTAGGAAATCCCCATTTTGCAGGGGATCCAAAGTCCTTCATTTTGGATAAAAAGAAGCTCAGAGGGTCAAATCGCTTGCCCTGAATGCCACCGTTGCCACCGACAGCTA